AAAGAGTGGTGGGAAAATAATTGCATAACTCCAAATACCTTGTCTTTAATCCAAATACCTTGTCTTCCTTCAGCATTGATTTTGACAGCCGTTTCTATTGGATCCCACAGACTAAAGTTCAACTTTTAATTATTTTGAGATAACTCCAGGTTGTCAATAAAGAAGTCTTAGAATGCTCAGGAGAGTTTTTTCCCCCCTTTTTTCCCCCCTGTTCTGGACCAGGAGAAAATGAAGATGAGAAGCTGAATGAAGTTATGCAGGAAGCTTGGAAGTATAACCGGGAATGTAAATTACTCAGAGACACCCTGCAGACTTTTAGCTGGAATGGTGAGTATCACAAACCTGTTCAGATCGAAGACATCACAAAAACAAGAATTAAGTCTCTCATCTCCCCTTATCCTGAAAAGGGATATGAAAACTGACAGTAATTAAGAGTGTTTTTTTTAAGGAAATCTAGTTTAGTTGTAATTGTTAAAGTATTCTAGAATTGCCCAGGTATTGGTATTTCAGAGCAGCTATAGAATAGAATAGAATAGAATAGAATAGAATAGAATAGAATAGAATAGAATAGAATAGAATAGAATAGAATAGAATAGAATAATTTACTGGCCAAGTGTGATTGGACACACAAGGAATTTGTCTTTGATGCATATGCTCTCAGTGTACATAAGATTTAGATCTGTAACCTGGAGCAAACGCCTCCTGTTAGTCTGATCTCTTTCTAAAGCTCTGCCAGCTTTTATTGTAGATTCTGAAAGGTCCCTGTTCTGACCCAGCTCCCCAAATACGACAAACCCTCTGAAGTGAACTCAAAAGATTCCTTTATTAGGAGCGCCAGCAGCCCCGGCAAAAAGTTTCTCTCTCAACGCAGGCTAACAAGTTCATCCGGCAGAGGAGATGAATAGTTGTCCCCACACCTATTCATCTTTGCCTCCTGCCTTTTATCCCCAGAGCTAGGTTGGGGCCTCGTTAGCAGCAGTGGCTCTTCCATCCCAAGGATCAGCCCATAGATTTCCACTGCTCTCCTCTCCTCTGCCTTCTGCACATCCACGCGTCAGGCACTGGGCCCAGCTGTTCCTCCTCTTCCTCATCAGCCACCTCCAGACCTAGATCCTTTCCCTCCAGAGCTCTGTTTGGGATCACCATGTCTCTTTCCTGCCTTCATTCTTGTCCTGATCTAGAAATGAGTTCGACAGGCTCTTTTTTCCTGAGCGTTTCTGTTTTTCACTTGCTTGCTGGCCATTAACCCGAGTTCACCTCTTCCATTTTCAGGTAGAGGATTCACAGACAAAGTGGACCGGCTAAAACTGGCAGAAATAGTGAAGCAAGTCATTGAAGAGCAGACAACCGTTCACGAGTCGCAGTAGTTGGAGCTGCTTGTTCTTATCAAATCACACATATTCTCACCCGTTTTTTGTTTTTTTTTTAAAGACCATTTTGTGAATTATCTGTTCAAGCAGCCTTGCCCAACCGGGCGCCTTCCCAGATGTTCTGGTTTGGGATGATAAGGGGGGAAAGCACCCAGCTGGGCAAGGCTGCTGTAAACTGTAAAAAGTATTTTTATGTAAATTAATAAGTCATAATTATTTCATTAAATTTCCACGCAGCTTGAGAAATGCTGTATAGATGTAGATAATGAGAATCATTGGTACTGTAATATTTTTTTAAGAAACTCGGTTCCTCAAAATTATATATATATATATATATATATTATATATATATTACATGATTTTTATGTAACCCTTCATGATTTTAAATGGGGCAAATGATTGTGTTCTCCTGACAATCCAGATGAGGCAATATCTCTCCAGCTGCCTGTCACCAGTGGTGCACCAGCTCGGTTCTGGGGGTCTCCCTTGGCCTTCAGCTCAATAAATTACTTGAAGAAACCAGCCAGAGATGCATGGGCTATTCAGCTGCCTGGTGATTTAAGGCAGCCCTATAAAAAGTGGTGATTGATTAAAAAAAATAACCCTGTGTTTCCAGGTCTTGAGGCCCATTTCCTTCAGCCAACAGTTACCTTTTCCTCTGTTTTGTACCGCGAAGCAAAGGAGGACAGAAATGGTAGCTTGTGGGATTTTACCAATTCAGCCAAGAGAGAAATGTGATCTCTCTGACAACAGATTTGCTTTTGAAGCCTGGGGACAGTCCCACAGAACTACTTCGGTACCGTTCCCTTTGTCCTGCGGCCGCTGAAATGCCGATCCCAAGTTATATGCGGGCTTCTCATTGGCCACCACAACTCTGCGGTTTGCTATCTCTGGGGTAATGGTGTTTTTTTGTTCTGTTTTTTTATTTTTTTTTTAAATCCTTCCTGAGTCATATCATCCTTGTCCGGCTTCTGTTTCTACTTTCTGGGCTCAGCCTTCAAATGCTTTTCTTGTGGACTTTGTGTATGATGGCTGCTGGTTGCATTCCTGCAGTTTTTATCAAGAGCCATTTGATGGGAAGGCCTGCGAGCATCCGGCTTTAGTCTTTCTTTTTAGTTTTTTAGTTTTTAACAGGAAGGTTTTGCCGCTAAGGAGGACTGTTAGGGCTAAAGTACATCTGGAAAGCTGGAATCTCTGTCTCTAGTGCCAGTTCAGTTGATAATCTCAGGACTTTACATCCGGTCTGCAAACGTACAAAGAGAATGCGTTGAGAAACGGGACGGGAAAATGTTCTTTGGAGATGCCCATAAGGATAAAAGATGCCATGCCAGAGAAGGAGCCTTTTAATCTGGGGAAACAAAGTCCTTGGCCAGGAGAAAAAACCCCTGCAGAAGTAGGAAAATGTTGTTTTCACGCTCTGCAGAAGGCCAACGTGAAGTTTAGCACCAGCTTGTCAATAATTTTCTGCTGCAATTAATTTCTTCAGTCACTCTGAAACAGAAGTGTCTGATCCTTCTGTACAGTGTTTTCCCACCAAGGGTGCCCATGAGGTGGCATTCAGTTCTTTTTTTTGTGACAAATAGCATTCATGGCTTGGGAAATATTTAATAAACCTTTTCTCTTTGAGGCTTCCCTTTCTCCATTTTCTCTAGCTTGCTAGAAGTTTTTAAGGGTTGGACTGTGGCTGATGGGAGTAGCTGACTACAGTCGTGGGGTCCTTTTTGTAGACGTACTGTATGTAAGACATACTTGTCCTTGCCTCAGTCTCCCCAGCTGAGGAAGGGTCGGAAATCCCAAGAATTCCCTGGTGGTCTCCGTTTTCCATGGGAAGGGGCTGGATCCACAAACGGCTGCTCCCAGAAGACAGCCTCCCCCCCTTCCCCCCCCCAACCAGGTTCATCTTTTGGAAGATGACAGGGAAGTCCAGACTGCCATCAGAAAATGAGACTGAAGAGGAAATACTATTTAGTTTTGTTTAATTTTTGTTCGACTATTCTGGGAAATTTTTTGAGATTATTTTTTACATTTTTTTCTTTGCCTGCCACCATTACTCATTTGAATGTGGCTCAGTGTCTGGGCTCTTTGGATCGATTCTTCTTTGCATCTGTTGTATGTGCTTCTAATTCTCCGTTGAAAGTAGGAGAATCTCCCTCCCTCCCAGCAACATTGGCAGCTCTGCGATTGGCTTCTGAGAAGTGCCTGTCTCAGTTCTTGCCGTCCCTGCTGAGTGGGCTAAAGAGGAACCTTTACGCAGGATAGGAATTTATCTGCCACGGTGGCTACTTGGTGGGATACGCCAGGAAGCGTAAGGATGGAAGTCCTGTCCCTCCCTGAACGATGCATCGGTTCTGACTTTCCACCCTTCTTGTGTTCGTTCTGCCTGAGGCTGCAAATGCATTAGCTTTCCCTGACTTGGATGCTTACAGATGGATTGGGACTACAGCTCTCATCATGGGGGGTTGGGTACTGTAGTCCAGCGTGTTTGGAGAGCCTCTGCTTTGGGAAAGCTGCTGTATGAATAGCTGTGGTCGTCAGAAACCACTTTTCCTTTGTAAGGGGGGGAAAAGGCTATCTTTTATAAAAACACGACGGTATGCCTTGATGGTCCTGGATTTTACTGGGCTCCCCTTGCAAAGCTTTTCGTATTCATCTCCATCTTAATTTCTTTCTTGTACCTGTGGAAGGAAAAATCAGCACTCTTGCTTATGATGGGCGAAACCCCTGGTGATGATTGTTGATCCTTAGAGACAGAATCCACGAGAAATTTTTTTTGAGAGCGGGAATGGCGTCGTGCATGTATGTTTTCGGCCACAGCATAGCTGATCTCGGCTGTTAGGTTCCATCATGCCTTCCTCATCCTCGTTTTGCTTTCCTCACTTTTAAGCATTTTGCTGTATCACGGTTTTGTTTTTCGAATCAGTATTATATGAATGTAAATATTATGCATTGGTGTACATAAAATAATTTTAGTAAAATTTATCAAAGTTTCTGTCTCCTTTTTTAAAGGTAACATCAGTTGACAGGTAACCCGGTTCTGTCTTTGCTGTCTTACACCATTGGTTCTTTCAGAGGGAAATTGCAAGCTGAAATCGATTTTGCATTGCTTAAGGCCATGGCCTGTCTGCATAACATTTCTGCCCTTGAGCTATGTTGGGTAGCTCCTTAATCTAAGTCAAAAAGACTGGTGGGCCTGATAGCTGTTTCTCCCTGGGCGAGCGCAGCTGATGCTCTTGCCTTGTGGGCGCCTGTCTTTCTGTGTAAATCCTGTACCAATTATGGAAGGCATAAAATAGATTACCTGTGCCACACAAATAACAATGAGCCGGCCCCTTTGATTATTTCATCTCACAAGGCCATGAAATAGCTGGAAGGGATTGACTAGATCAGAGGTCTTCAAATTTGGCAGCTTTAAGACTTGTGGACTTCAACTCCCAGAAGTCTTAAAGCTGCCAAGTTTGAAGACCTCTGGACTAGATCTTCAAAGACAGAACTGGAAATTAAAAAAATAGCAAGGATACCATCCAATTTTAAATAAAAAGAAAATCCAGGTATAGCTTGCTCCACAATTCAATCCTGAAATTTGCTGTTCAGTAACTCTGGGAAGCCTCTTGTGGGAGGGAGGTTAAATGGAACATTCACATTTAAAGAGGCTGGAGAAACAGTTGCCTTCTGGAATCTTCCACTGGAGAAGACCCGTAGGAGGGAAGCGGTGGTTGGATCGGTGGTGAGTTCATTCTTGGTGGCTGTGATCTTTACAAGATTCATCCAGAACAACTGAGAAGGGTCCGAAGCTCTTGAGATGTCTGCCCTTTCCCTAGTGCCCTCTCCATTTTAGCTCTCTCGTTAAGCAAAGATGGCCACCAAGCCAGACAGTTGAACATGCCTGAAGAATCTTGATGGCTCAAGCAAGTGATGGTGATAGCCATCACTTTCTTGGACATCGATGAACTGAAGTAAGCTCTCACAAAATTAACTGACTCACACAAGCCAAACAAACCAACCCTTGTCTTTTTCCCCCATTGGACGTCCACATCAATCTCTCCTCCAAGCAAAGCATGTGTGAAACTCAACACAGTTGAATCATGACGAGTGTGGGTAGATACCTTGGGTGCTGGTTTTTCCTCCAGTTGGCAACCAGCATTGCATTGGTGGTCTTCACCCTTTCCACCATTCATTGCAGCTCATTGCGTCCTCCGGCATATTCCTCTTCTGAGGTGATAATCCCAAGACGGTTAGCAGCCCAAGGAGGGAAGACAAAGAAGGATGAAATATCTTACATCATCGAGGCAGCAGGAAGGGATTACATCATCCGGCTCAACCCCCCAAAGCATTTGCTAGCTAAAGACCTTCCAGTCTTCACATATAATTCAAAGGGGGAACGCGTTGAGAGCCATCCCTACATGCCAGTTGAATGCTACCGTCAAGGTTACGTGGAAGGTATTGTTGATTCGCTTGCAGTTCTTAGGACCTGTCTTGGTCTCACTGGTTTGTTGAAAATTGGTGCAAGAACGTATGGTATTGAGCCTCTGCAGAATTCCTCTGCCTTTGAACACCTTCTCTACCTCTCCGAAGAATCACTGCCTAGTTTTTCATCATACAGAGCAGGGGTGGGAAGAACAAAACACCAAGCAAAAGATCTGCGAATCAGGCAAACCAGGATGATGTACGATTATCTCCAGTACGAAGATTTCCCCAAATATATCGAACTGTATATTGTAATAGACAAAAAATTATTTGTCCAAGAAGGAAATAATGTCAGCAGAGTGCAAACTGTAGTGCTGGATGTGGTGAACATTGCGGATGCCACCTTTGAGAGTCTCAAGACAAGCATTGTCCTAGTTGGACTTGAGATCTGGACTGAAAACAACTTGATAGATATTTCTACAGACTTCACGGAAGTTCTTCAAAATTTCAATACGTGGAGAATCACCAACATGACCAACAGGACAGAGTATGACACAGCCTTCTTGTTCTTTAAACAGGATTTGAAAGGTGTCTTTGGACAGTCCTACCACTCTGCTATTTGCAAGTCAAATTTTTCAGCAGGACTCCAAGTCTACCTCCAGAACCAACTGACCCGCTTCGCAAGGGGATTTTCTCACGAGTTGGCCTCTCATATTGGGATGAACCATGACGACTCCTACTGTGTCTGTGGCAAACACACAAGCTGCCTTATGCACACGTACCACGCCTCTGTTAACCTGTTCAGTAACTGCAGCATTCTGAATTTCATAGAACTTTCTGAACAGGGCTCCTTGGGTTGCTTGCTAAATGTTCCTAGGATACCTTCCAAATTTATGCACTGTGGGGACGGGGTTTTGGATATCGACGAGCAATGCGATTGTGGGAAATCAAACACATGCATGGACGATCCTTGCTGCACTCCCAATTGCCATTTGAAGAAACATGCCCATTGTGGGGCAGGAAAGTGTTGCCGAAAATGTACGTTCGTTCCCAAAGGAGAAATCTGCCGGGCTAAAGCCAGCGAATGTGATCTCCCCGAATACTGTAATGGGAAATCTCCACATTGCCCCAAGGACTTGTATTTGCAGGATGGAACACCCTGCAGCAAATATTCTTCTTACTGTTACAAAAAGAGGTGCTGGAATCACGATTTCTTATGCCGCAGAATCTTTAAAGGAGAGTCCAGATCAGGTCACGAGAGATGCTACCTCGCTCTGAACATCCTCGGGACTCCCTATGGCAACTGCGGCTTTGACCATTCCAGGAAAGAATATTTGAAATGCCATCCCTTGCACAGCATGTGTGGAAAAGTTCAGTGTATAGATGTGAATTCTGCGCCTGAGCTGAAAGACATGGTGATTCATATGAAGGAAGTGCAAGGGACGACGTGCTGGAGCACTTCACATCCCGCCGAAATCCATCACCATGACATTGGGATTGTCCCCAACGGCATTGTGTGTGACCCGTACAAAGTGTGCATCAATCGCAAATGCGTCTCCAAAGCCGTACTTAATTCGAGCTGCGACCCGCGGAAAACCTGCCGAGGCAGAGGTGTCTGCAACAACCTTCACAAATGCCACTGCAATAGCGGATGGGCCCCTCCGAACTGCAAGTTTTGGGGTGCAGGAGGGAGCGTTGACGGAGGGTTTCCTACGATTGCCTGGGGCGACTCCTTAGCAAAATACATCCTGGGAACCATCATTCCTTTTTGCATGTTGATTGTTGCTGCTGTTCTTTTGATCTTTCCGAAAGTGTGGGAACTCATGGGATCATTTATGAGGTGGTGGAAAACTTCCATGGAGAAAGCACTGAACCTCCCCCCCAAATCAGACACCCAGGTAAGGGTGCCAGTTGAGACTCCCTAGAAGGCCCACAGAAATTCACTCCAAAAAGTAGCTTCTCTTGCAACAAGCTCATCTAATGATCATAAAGTTAGCAGCCTGTTCAGATTGTTCAGATTAAACTTTCCAACGTGGAAAAGAGCATTGAGAGCAAAACCCAAATGGCTGCGCTAAAATAGGTTGGGTCACTGCAACATCAAATCCAATACTTTCCTCTATTGAAAAAGGGAAAGGAAAAGGCGGGGGGGGAAGGTGAGGGCAGGTAATAAAATCACTTGCAAATCAAACTTGTGAATGTGCCTGCTAAACAATGCCTGTTCTTAAGTCTCAGAATGGAGTTAACTCTTCCTGTCTCAGAATGTCAGGAAGTGCACGCAGAGGGGATTTATTCTGTAAGACTCCAGAATATAGTTTTGTGATGGAAGGGAGGGATCCCCAAAACATCATCTCTTCTTGGCTACGAAAGCTACAAGATCAGAGTTCAGGAGGAATGTGGGAGGAGACTGCGGTCCTTGAACCAGCCCCTTCCAGGGGCTGAGATAACTTAGGAGGAATCCCACATAGACCCCAGAGTACTAAGACAAATTAATCTGTATCTGTTCAGCAGCACTAAAATTTATCTGTAAGTACCCCACATTCTTTAAGTCAAATACACATTGGTTGCAACTCAACAACGTTTATGTAAATGAAATTAGAACGAACTTTAAAATGTTAGGAGAAAAAGAGGACAGGAGAAACTTGAGGTTCAGAGAACCCAGTTCATTTCCCCTCTCGTACCTTGCCAGTGTCCACAGCTTGTGACCTCAAATCCCCAATTTTAGGAAAACCAACTCCAAAGGCTTGGAATGAAGAGGCTGGTTAGAGGAGCTTCAGATCCAGAAGGAAAGAGAGCGATCCTCCCTCTCCTGGCATCTCATGTCTGGCTTCAGGTGAATCTTAATGCCCTACATCTTCATCCCCATTTTCAGACCACTGAAAACTCTGTCCTGACTTTTACAGAGCAGGCCTGGTTGAGAGAGGCCAGTCTTGAGAAAGACTGGAAAGAAAGGAAAATGAGTAACTGATTTGGTAACAACAACAGAAAAAGGAGTAAGACGGCCTCCAGCAAGGTGTTTAGGACTCCCAAAATTCCCAAGAGCCATTGAAAGAAGATCTAACTCTAAGAATGCTGGTTAAGATCTGCTCAGCGTAGTCATCTCTGCAATGAGGGTGAAGGGATCTTAGGGCGGATTGAAAAGGATTCCTGGGAGACCTTGAGAAAGGAAATAAAATTGTGCAGCTGAGGTTTTTCAGTTTTGACAGGAGTTTTGGAAGGACGGGTGGAATTTCTGGAAGCCATGACATTGGGGTCATTTGGGATCAAGAGAGGACATTATTTCTATATAGAACTTTTTGGAGGCGTTAAAACAGTAGTAAGATAAGGAAGGGGTGCTTTTTACGGATCCTGGAATCAAAAGGAACAGAAATCCATCCACACAGTTGCTTTTATGTTTTACTGTTTGGCAGGAAGTTGTAAAATATTCCACCAGCAGGACTGAAATAAAAGGATAATTTCCAAGGTGGTGACATCACACATTCCAAGTTCTCAGTGGCACTGTTTCCCATTCTTTGGAAAATCCTGGGGAAACTGTCTCGTGGGGGGGGGGGGGGAATGTGATGCAGTCTAACAAGGCAGTCCTCTCCATCCTATCCAATTTTTGATTCCCCTCAAATAAATAGTGATTATTTAAATCTAAGGAGTCTTTCGGTTTCTTCTCGTCCAATTGCAGTTTAATTCTCTTGCAGCCCTTCCAAGATAGCTCTTTAATTTCACGCATCTGCCGCTGCTCCGTTTGACAGCCACATTTCTCAGCCAGGCTGTGAGCGAGAAGAGCTTCAGGGTCATCCGTTGAACTCCCTCTGTGCAGGATCTAGAAAGCCTAGCCGGCCTTGGTGAGCAAAGAGCCTCCTGGCATGACCGGGGTGGGCAAGGAGAGTTCAAAGGGCCCGTCTCCCGTTCATAACACCGAGGTTGTGGAAGGAGAGGTGGGCTTAGCCTGGGGATGGGCTGGGAGGGTGCTGGCGTAGAACCTCTTCTGGGAACGCAGGAGGGGCGTCTGGGTGTCGACATCACGGCAAGCCTTGCGTTTCACACAGTGGAACATGTGCTGGGTCCAGCCATAAACCACACAGTTCAGGAACCCCTGGGAAGATGCGGTCAGGGCCTGAGTGGAGAAGCGAAGTTGCCCACGGTGAGGTGGCTGGAATCAGGAGTTGCCTGGGGCAGTCAGGAAGCAGCAGCAAAGAAGCCAACATTCCCATTAAAGGTTAGCCCCCCCCCCCCCAACCAGCACTGAGCAATGGGTTCTGCCCACGGAGAGAAGGTGCCCCGTGGGCTCTACTGGGTGCGCGTGGCTGAAGAGATGCTTACCTCTAAAACATAAAGGGCCATGTAAACACTGTCGTTCTCCGTACGTGCCAGCTTGACTATGCTGAGGATAAAGGCTGCGGATGGGAGAAATGAGAGATCAGTAATAATAAATAGAATAAGGATGGTAGGACTAGCAGCTACACCTCTGCATGAATTAATTTTTTTTAGTAATTAATTTTCGATGGGTTTCTGGCCTTGGATAGATTGAGATCTGGAAGGGCCCACTTCCAAACAGAGGTGAAGAGAGCTGCCTCTTTCACCGTCAACCCCCATCCCTCAGTCTTTCCAAACCTGGCCCCCAGCAGCAGAAAAACACCACGGGGTACAGAACCACGGCTTGCTCGACCACCTTCAGCATCGCCCACTGTTGATCGCCGACGTAGCCCATCGAGTTCACAAACCGCTTGTACAACATCCTGGCTCGGATGAGCAGCGTCTGAAGAAGGAGCAAGGTCTAAGCAAGGTCTCAGCAACATCTTTGTGCTTGAAGGAGGAGAGGGTGGAAGGGAGGTGGCTGGATCCAGATTCCTGCTTCGCTTTTGAAGCCGTGGGAGGAATTGAATCTAGGTGCGTGCCTGGTTTGGGTTCACTCGTTCCTCCAGGCCATGGTTTACTTAACCATGGTTAAACTATACCTGACTGAGCCTGCAGAAGACAATAAGGCCTAAACCATGGCTTCTAAACCACAGGAGGTAGTTCCCAAATCACTTTAAGGCAAAACGAAGTCACACATTATAATGGCTTAAAGGGTTGTGTGAATCAGGCCATTGACAGCCTCTCTTGATCTAATTTACCTCAGAGTCCTCGCGTAAATAAAATCAGCAGCCAGGCAATCTAAGATGTGCCCGGTCAGCAATTCAAGTGTTCCTATTGTTTTGCCTTGCATTTTCCCCCCCAAAGAATCTGTGCTTATTCTGAAGTCCATCTGTTTACCATTAGGGAAACAAAAACAAGCTCAGATTTATTCAGGAAGCTGGACTCTGGGGTGTGGAAACTCAGTGTGTGATGCATTAAATCAGTGTTAGGAAACTGTTTGCTCTAACATACGAGGAATGCAGCAACAGTTGGAAGACATCAAACGTTAAGCATCAGGGTAGAGAAAAGAAGCATGATTTGTGTGCGTCACAACTGAAAGCACACACACCTCTCCTGAATTCCCCCTCCCATAAGTGCTGAAGGATTTCCAGCAACAGAAGGAGGTGCACCCCTTAGTGTGCCTCTCACCAGAATTGCAAGGAAGCTGACCATAAACGAGATCAGGAAAACTCCAGTGCTGTACAAACACAACACAGTGCAGGTGACATGCTGAGAGCCGGTGCTGAGCATGTTTTCCATGTGCAACAGGAGGCACCTGTGGACCAAACAGAAGCACAGGAGTGAGCCTGGGAGGTGGGCTGTGTTACAGGTGGGTCGGGTTGTGTCCAGACCTCTTCTGGGAAGCTCAGACAAGCAAGGTTGGTTCCCCTAAGAGACCTTTGGGAGTCAGTGGCCGTCGTAGGACAAAGTCTCAGTTCAGATACCTGCCATCCCTGACTCTTTGGGCTTGGCAAAATGTACTATATTCAGGTTGTCGTACCCATGTTCTGCAGTGAAGTTCTGGGGACACCGAAAGTGGTTGCCTAGCCCCAAAACAGGCACCATCAGGAGGATGGGGATGAGACTGGAAGAGAAAAGATAGGTCAGTCTCTTCTTCAAGATCTTGGAACCCCCCAGAGAAAAGACCAGCTCGCCTTCCAGAGCTGCTTTTACTGGCCTAAATAGCCAGAGTCTGGCCAGATCGAACTGGGGAGCTCATCCAGATTTTTCCGAGTAGGGGGGTAAACTCCACTGCCTCCCCCTTTCCCCCCCCAACCCCAACCCCTCTGAATCCAGTGGCATTTGGGAGATTAATCTTACCTAGAGAAAAGGATTGCTATTCGGCCAAGCTGATTTGAATAGCTCAACATCTACAAAAGGGGGAAAGAGGAAAACACCAGGGATTTAGCCCCATACTTTGAAAAGGTTTGTGGCAAAGATTCAAAAGATGAAATGAATTTTAAAAAAAAATTGGATGCAGGAAAGGGGAAATAAAATGTGTACAGAAACTTCCCTACAATTGTTTTTGGGGGAGGGAAACTCTTCAAAATTCAGCATTTAATTGTTCACATGTTAGTTTCAGATGAGACTTTGGTTACAACAATGAAGCAATGATAAAGCCACTTCATCAAGAAGTTATTATTTTAAAAACTTGAAGGTGAATCAAAGTTGAACCAATCAAGGTTTAGCTCTATACCTGGTACGTCCTGAACATATTGATGTATAATTTATTTCACTGGCATGTACAGATGCGTCCATGTGCATGCGCACATATACATACATACACACACACAGCAGAGGTGGGTTTCAGCAGGTTCTGACCAGTTCTGGAGAACCGGTAGCGGAAATTTTGAGTAGTTCAGAGAACTGGTAGTAAAAATTCTGACTGGCCCCGCCCCCATCTATTCTCTGCCTCCCAAGTCCTAGCTGATCGGGAGGAAATGGGGATTTTGCAGTATCCTTCCCCGGGAGTGGGGTGGGAATGGAGATTTTACACTATCCTTCCCCTGCCACGCCCACCAAGCCACAGCCACAGAACCGGTAGTAAAAAATTTTGAAACCCACCACTGACACACCGAGAAATATCTTTCTTCCCTGCAAAATCATACTCTTTATGTTTGGAGAGTGACCCAACCATTGTCCTAATCCTATGAGACATTTCTTCCAGCCTTCAAAGCATGGAGTTTTCAAAGAATGCTGGAATTGACCAAATTGTTGAAGTGATCTCACAGTGTTTGTCTGGGGACACGATGTGCTCTTCCCAGGTCGGGTTCTGTCCTTCTGATGAAGTGGATGGCCATAGAGGCTACTAGACTAACACAGCTACCCCTCCTGCCATGCCTTCCCTTCAAATTCATAAGGGCTTCCTGGAACAAACATGATTACAAAGAAAGTTTAGCAATTAGCCAGGGTTTTCAAAGGGCGTTGCAAGCTCTTCCTTTGAGTCTCTGCCTAGAGACTGGCCCTGGTGATTGAAAGGGTTTCCACTGACGACCAGATTTCAAAATGTTTTTGAAAGAATAATAAAAAAAGAAAACCTAATGGAGAGTCCATCTTGTCTGGGCCACATGCATTTTTCTCTGGTTCTGTTCTCCCCTTTATCAAGCAAGCATTGACAAAGGCCTCGCACCTTTGTCAAACCCAAACCTGCCGATCCTGTTCAGGTAGGAGCCAAAGTTGAAGCAGAAAGGGTGTGGCCCTCTCTGGAGGAAGTCCAAGGCCCTCCAAATCTCAATGGCCTCCACACAGGAGTCATCATTTCAACTGGATTCAATTTCTTTGACTTCCATGCAATTCAGTCAACTTGGCTTTGGCCCCGCTCTTGTTGGCTTCTGCCTGGTTCAGCCTCATTATTGGAGTTTGGCCTCCAGCACACCCTGTGACATCCACAGGGACAAGGTGGACAGATCTCGAGCACTTCCTTCCCACCATCACAAACATGCTTTTGTGTTTCTCTTATTCTCACCCTACAAGTTATTCTCTTAAACCTTGTTAAAATCTTCTTCCCTCTTCTGGAATGTCTGCGTTCTTCTACCCTAGAGCCTTCAGACCTGCACTGAGTAGAAGGAACTCTTCTAAACTCAGCAATAAAGGCCGTGCTGAAAAGATGCTCAGGTGCTATCTACTGAGCTGGAAAATCCAAACTGAGCTGAGAAATGCCTCAATTCATGCCTAATTCACGTCCCCTGTGACTCACGGGATTTGAAGTGTTTATTGGGGAGCAACAGAACTTGAAGCAAGGGTGTTCAACTATATCCCCTGGTCTTTATTTTCCAGATTGAACCAGCAACATCTGGTTGTAGGTGGAAAACCCCAAGTTCTGCTCTGTTCGATGGTCCATGGCCTTTAGGAGGCCAATACAATGATTTTCTAAAGATAATTATAGCATGGTGCTACTTGGTGTGGCTACATTTCCAAGTACGCAAAATTGCAACTTCAAGAACCAGGTTTCTAATTCAACCCATCTGGGTATCTTGCTGTTCTTCAGATAGCCTATAAATGTTTTTTTGCTTCATTTTTAATGCACTTGGGGTCCAAATCATGCTTGGATTTTTAAGCAGAGACAGGACTCAACTTAAAGATATTCAAGTCACCATGAAAGCACCGTTTACCTGTGGCATCTGGCTATGTAAGTGCTGGTTGAATTTCCCTTTCAAATCCATGTAAAGCTGCCAGGTGTAATTAACAGTGTACAGAAATGAGGCGACATAGAAGATCTGGAGAAGCAAATCAAGAAACAAGAACAAAGGCTATTAGTCCTCCGAATCGGCCTTTGGAAATCTGGAATAGTTTGAGAACTGAACATGGCCGTGGGTTGAAGGGGAGGGGGGCAAGTAGTGGATGGCAAGGGGAAGCCCCTGTGTGCCTGTAACCCTCCCCACTCCCCAATAACTTCCTCTCCAACCTCCTCTATATTTCCACTATTGAAAGTAACCTTTTGCAGCTTTTATTTTGTCACGGAGTTAAAATCCAGAAAGAGCAACTATCACTGCACTTGGAGACCAAGCCTAGGGATGTGCCTCCCTCTGTGGGTGTGGTTCTGTCCTTTTTATATAATTTGTATGTATGGCTCGGATTTTCTGACTTTGTCACCAAGCATAAACAGCTCCAGAAGGAGCCGATTCCCCCACGGAAGCGATGCGTGAGGTTTGGTTTTTCCATTTCACATGGGAAGACTCCGAGAAACAGGAAGAGCTAATTTCCTGGCACGGCTGATGAAACATGAAGTAGCGGTCCAAAATTAACAAAACAAAATCACGACTTTTGCACCTTCATTCCCCCACTGTAAATAGTTGCTGGATTTGTTTTGTTTCGTTAGGCGTCGTAAAGGACGCCTAATTGAGGAAAGCTATCCCAGTGCCCGTGTGGTTTTTCTCCTTTTCTGAAAAGGATCCCAGAATGAACAAAGTCCAAAGATCTCATTGCAGCCCCACCCACCCCTTCCAGTTTCCACTCTGTTTTTCAATGTGGAAAATGTTGGATTTGTTTGTCCAATCAAAGTTAGTTAGATAAATCATATTCTAGAAGCTTGATGAAACAAAATCTAATCCAGGAAAGCCAGCGTCATCTGCTGGGATATTTTATAAATAAATATCCTTAAAAATACAACATAAAAACATCATAATAAGATCCTTTATCATCCCAAAACCTCATTTTGTGTTTTTGTGTTCCCAAATAGCTTGAAAAACATATTGGAAGAGAGTGAGGTGGATCAAATTGAATTAAATCTTTTCGCTGCCCTGATCTGTCCAGTAGGTTTAGGGGTTAAGCAGGTCTCTGCGAACTCAAGTGACAACAGCATCATTGCCTCATTGCCTGATGATTTATATTTGCAAACGAATTTTGTACCTTGAGAACTGGCTGGGCGTTTTCAAGTTCCCACATACACCTGCCAAGTCACACATCTTGTGAAATAGGCAAACACAGCCTTCTCTCGAGAGGCAGCCGAAGGTAAATATTCAAAGGGATCAATAATATGGAGGACCTCTGCTGTTCATTATACTGCTGATTGGCGCAATAACCAATATTATAGGGAGATTATGGGGCAGATTATAAAGCCATTTTAAAAACAGAATCAAAGAGGAAAAGCAACCAAGTAGCACTAAATAAACAAGATTTGTGGTGGTTTGGAATTGCCTTTCCAGGAACAGGACCATTAAATGGCCTCAAGAGGACAATCCTGGACCCAAACCAAGCAAAGGAAAATACACAAAAGTGAGGAGAGGGATGCAAAACAGAGTTGGTAGCTCTGTAAGAAGCATTCCAAGGCTGGCATTCTCACAAGAGAGCAAAGAAAAAAGCTTCCTAATAATGCAGGGTTTTTATATATCCAATATTAGGGACAAGGTGGCTCAGTGGCTAAAACGCTGAGCTTGTCAATCGAAAGGTCGGCAGTTCAGCGATTCGAATCCCTAGTGCCGCTTAATGGGGTGACCTCCCATTACTTGTCCCAGCTTCTGCCAACCTAGCAGTTTGAAAGCAGGTAAAAAATGCAAGTAGAAAAATAGGGACCACCTTTGGTGGGAAGGTAACAGCGTTCCGTGCGCCTTTGAGTTATGCCGGCCACATGACCACGGAGACGTCTTTGGACAGCACTGGCTCTTCGGCTTTGAAACGGAGATGAGCACCACCCCCTAGAGTCGGGAACGACTAGCACTTATGTGCGAGGGAACCTTTACCTTTACCTTTACCTTTACCTATATATCCAATAGTCAAATTAAAAGGGAAACACACACACTCTATCAAAACCACAGCTTTCTCTAACCATCTCCAGTTGTGTTTAGACTGCAAATCCCAGAATTTCCCAGGACCTTAGCCATGTTGGCTGAGAATTCTGGAGTCTTAGTCCAACTGGGAAAACTTATCTAGAATCTTCCACAGAAACTGCCTCTGTATGTTCTTGATGCCTTTGATCCCATATACTTCTCTAAAGCTTTTACCCACTCAACGTGGCAAGTTAGCCCCAACACAAAACACATCAAGCTCAAAGACTGAACAACTGGCAGCAGATGGAAGCAACTGGATTGCCTCTTCTATATGTGGCTATCCCACCAGTCCAGACTGGTACTTTATGATTCTTGATGAATGTATCTTTTCTTTTATGTACACTGAGAGCGTATGCATCAAAGACAAATTCCTTGTGTGTTCAATCACACTTGGCCAATAAAGCATTCTATTCTATTCTATTTTACACCTATTCCTATTCTGTGTCGCACATAACACACTTTCCACCCCACCAAGGAGCTGGAGATCAATGGAGGTTTCACCTGTCCGGTGGCTTGCAAGTTGTAGCAGATGCTGCCTTCTCCAGTTGGGTGGGATGCATCTTTGCTATAGAGAAGGGCCCCCGTGAGCCAGCACAACCCTAGAAAGAGATCGGAGAGGCTCAGGTAGACAAGAGGGCGCACCTGTGGAAAGATCAAAGCAGCAATCACTCTGGTGATTCGTAGCCTTGCATTAGAACAAACATTGGAGATCTAAGGATGGGTGGAAACCATGTTCTGACCATCTGAGTTTCTGTTTCTCACTTCAGAGAGAACTAACCACACAGTGTCAACTCTAGAAGGGCAAAGCAATTTCTTCCTCAACTGTCTCATATCCAGATACACAGTCTCAGTGCAAAGTGTGTATTAGTAGAAGAGAGTGATGGGGAATAAATAAAACTAATGTTCTGCTATCCTAAAGTTGTCAAGGTTCAAAAATACTGAGAAGACAGACAGATGTAGAGATAGGCAGAGAGAGGGAGGGTGGGAGAGAGAGAGAGAGGTTTGGTTCTGCAAATTGGTTGTTATATTAATTAGGCTGCATGGCAACTATAGATGTTTGATGAAATAAAAGTACCTTATTTTTCGGATTATAAAATGCACTGGTGTATAAGATGCACCATGATTTTAAGAGGTAAGCAAGAAAAAAAGTTTTTGCCCTCCCCAGCTCATAGGAGCACTCTGCAGGACTCCCAAAGTCTCTGCACGCCCTGTTTTTGCGAAAAACGGGACACGCAGGGCAGGGCTTTGGGAGACCAAAAAAGGCTGTATTCAGTGTATAAGACTCACCAACATTTCCATCCTCTTTTGAGGGGGAAAAAGTACGTCTTATACTCTGAAAAGTACGGTAAATTATGGTTCACCCACCAGCTTCTAAAATTAATATTTGTTCAGTAACAAAGTGGAAAGGACTTGAACATTGCAAACATTCCTGCTGAAGATCCCTGCTCCTCCCCACTTACTTCAGAAGGCCCCATCTTGCTTATTGCCTTCCTCTTCTTTTCCATCAGCAAAGGAAGGAATTTCCCTTACCTCGGGGGATCTGGCGCTGTTCTGGAATATGGTGTAGCCGATAATTGAGCTCGACCCCATGATGCTGTGGAAAGAAGGGGCGGATTGGTGGAGCTTGAAGTTGCTTCCTTTGATACGTTATTAGAGCTTGCATGAACCTTCCTTTAGCCCAGCAAATTCCCGCTTAATAAACACAACATAAACATTTTATTCTAACAAATGCAAAATCAATTTAGTTCAAGAATAAAAACAAGAATGACAGAATAACAAAAGCAAATAAAAGATATACATCCATGGCATTTAGCAACCCCAGGAAAGGGAGACATGCCTGGTAAAGGTAAAGGTAAAGGTTCCCCTCGCACATATGTGCTAGTCGTTCCCGACTTTAGGGGCCGGTGCTCATCTCCGTTTCAAAGCCCTAAAACCCCCAATCAGGTTAGTTCCTTAAGAGAGAAGGCTGCATGAAATACCTCAAAGTAGCCGTGACAGCTTGGATCCAGTGGATAACAGCGAAAAACTAGGTGGGGAAAAGAGGGAAATTAGAGAAGGCATATCCTTGCAAGCCAGGCTGTTTATCCGAGACCCCCTAGATGTTATGTGAAGGGCAGCCCACCCTGAAATTGTGATGGGGCAGGTCTCGGAGTCCCTTCTGTGCATCTTTCTTTCCCTCCGCTCAGCGTCAGGCAGTATCTTCCATCTCTTTTTATTCATTTATTCAGCATCTGTCTGTATCGCCCATCTTTTACCCAAGTGGCTATTTTAACCCGCAGTCCAGATCTAGAAACTGACCATCCCTTCTCAGGAACGACTGCAGCCAACTTATAGCAAGCTGGAATACCATGCAAAAGTCAGTAAATTAACCTCAGGATTGTGTGAGGTCTCTACTCCAGAGTTTCTCAAGCTCAGACAGTCTGTGATGTGTGTACTTCCAACTCCCAGAAAGAAAGAAAACTGCCAGGGAGCGAGTGAGTAAGTGAGAAGGAAGGAAGGAAGGAAGGAAGGAAGGAAGGAAGGAAGGAAGGAAGGGAAGGAAAATCCTATCTCCCAGAGCATCTCTGCAGGTTCTTCCTTGACTCACCTGAGCCTTCTCCAAATCTTGGGGCAGCAGAAACTCCTGAGCGGCAGCCCCAGGGGCAAAGGAGCCCATGCTGGCAAGCCAAGCAAGGAGCTGCAGGCAGCAGCAACGGGACCAGCTGTGGACAGGCAGCTAGCTGACTGGCCAGGGCTGGCTGGCTGGCTGGCTGCCAACCTCCCTCTTCGCTCCACCTCTTTGGTCCCGCCCTGGGTTGCCCGCAGCGGATTGGGGGGGGGGGGAGGCACAGCAGGCAGGACTCAGTGGTCCAGCAGCCTGTCTGTTTTCCAAGGGTGAGAGAGAGAGGAAAGGAAAGGAAGAAAAAGATAAAACCGGAGGTCTGGAGATGAGGGAGGGAGGGAGAGAACCAAGACCAGAGGCAGGATGCAAAAGGCAATAAAACAGAAGACAGGCAGGAGGGGAAAGCCTTGGTCCCAGCAGCTCCAGGCTCTTTGCTCAAGACGCCCCCATTATTTTGACAGAATTAATTGGAAAGCAGCCAGGAAAAAGGCTTCCCGTTCCCCCCCTTTTAAATTACGGTTCTTTAAAGGAGCGTCTAGGGGAGGGGCTTCCCCACCCATTTAAATCCTAGTTTAGTTTACCCCCTCCAGGCAACCAGCACAGGGGGCTGCAACTCTCACGAAGCAGAGGAGGCCTTTGAATAAAACCTGAGAATCCGAAGAGCTGCTACCAATTTTTTGATTTGGGGCTACTCCAGAGTAACTCAGAGGTTCTGTGGTTTCCACTAGAGAGCAAAAGAGCAGCTCCATCTACTGATGGGCAAAGGAAGCTTGCAACCACTTTGAGTGCCCTGCAAAGAACATGTGTGTATGTGTGTGTGTTTTTGTGGGTCAGGGATTGATTGTGAGACCGAATTGCAAAACTCGGTCTCTTCTCCTCTACTGATCTGAATCCACAAAAGAAAGGAAGGCCACCAGAAACAAAACGCAACTTTTAAGTTGGGTATGGGATAAAGTTGGGTCGTGCTGGCTGGGGGATTCTGGGAGTTGAAGTCCACAAGTCTTAAAAGCAGCCAAGGTTGGACACCCCAGGTTTAAACTATGGAGAAACCGCCTAGGTTAAGATGACCCATGTTTCCCTTGGTAGCCACAGAGTCCCTGAATCTTGAACTGGCTGGCTTGCTTGAGCCTATAGTAGATGGATTACCTTAATGACCTCCTTTGCCAGCTTTACGGAGGAGGCGCTGAGTTGGATAACCAGACCAATCATTCCCAGCCAGCATGGGAGTTGCCGTCCAAGGCATCTGGAAGGCACAAGGTGAGGAAATGCTTGGTTAAGACAGCCGCTTTGCAGGGGGAGAAACGGCACTTGCACCCTGGATGAAACGCCCCATTGCCACCTGCGTTGGTGCCCGGGGAGCAAACGGTTGGTAACCACTGAACCAAGGCTTCCCTTGGCGTTAAAGCAAGCCCCTTGGGAGAAATCCTGCCCTTTGGGCTGCTCTGGGGCCCAGGGAGGAATTTAGGCTGTCAGTCAAGGAGGCGGCTGCTTTTAAGAGCAGACTCTGGCTGCCACTTGACTGCTTTGATGTGGGAAAGAGAGGGATGCACAGAAAGGGGCCTTTGTCCCATGCCAGAACGGTGCACACCAGGGGTGTCATTATCCGAGGTCTCTGCTGGTTGCGGCTTCTTAACTGCGGGGTTCTCCCACAGTTAATACAAAGCCAACATTCATCTAACCAATGTACGAGCAGGCTCACCTAATATCCCAGACCGATGCTGGAAAATAGCTTGCTCTTTGGCATGTCGTATTGGGCTATCTGAAACTGAGGGAGGAATGGTGCTCCCTAGACAGGCACTATCTTATTTAATAATGCAGAAAAATAAAATGGTAGGGTCTTAAAACAGTTCCCTGCTCCCAATTCCAGCTGGTATTGACAATTCTTTCCTTCCAGTTTTAAGACCCCCAAGAAGCTGAGCTGTAGATGGAAATGTCCCAGAAGACTTGAGGCGAAGAGGAAGATAGCGTATGAGTTTTTAAAAAACCTGTATGAGGATAAGGAGTAGAAGATGCTAAGATAGTGCAATACCTACAAAAAATAGAATTTTCCAGAATCTCGGAAGAAGGTAAAAATTTAATAAACCAAGGTTAGTTATATTATGACTTGGCTCAACAGCTTGTCTCGGCTGTCAGAAGGAGGGCAAGCTGGATATTTACATTTTCCTGATCAAAAACACCTTGTGGTTTGTCTCATACAGTTGTGTGTCTGTGTGAGTGTGGGCTTGTGTGTGATTCAAGGCAGAGTTGCTGAATGAAGGGTCGAAAGCTATAAACCCCCAAATCTCAAGTGCAACTTTAAACGTCAAACACAATCTCAGTTCTTAGAAGTTCAACCAGGAGGGTTCATTTTATTAAGGAAGTTGTGATAAAAGAGGAAAAAAATGCCTTTGTTTGTTCGTTTCCCCAGTAACCTTTATTATCAAATTAAGTACCCTTTCCATAAAACTGATTTTGGTGAATACTGGTCAGTAAGAGACAGGTGTAGCTTTGGGTTCACTTTCTCTTAACGTATTTCCCCTGGACCAAATGGTGCTCCATCTCACACACACACACACAAAAACCTCCCAGAGGGCGAGCCCTATTTCTTGGATGTTCAAATTCCTCCCAACGGGGTGGGGGGAGGGAAGGGGGGGAGAGGGGATTCAACCCAGCCAAACTAGCTTGCCAAGGCTCCAAGTTAGAAGTTCTAAATGTTGCCATCTTGAAAACACCTTGTTTATTAGACTTTATGGCGGTCTCTGAATGTCCCCTTAGTGAAGTTGGGGGTGTTCTGTCCCCAGGAATGGGATGGGTAGAGGGGGCTATGAAAGGGCTAATTTGCAACCTCTTTGAAAGAGCAAGGGGAGGTTTTTGCCTGCTTCGAGGAGCACCAGTTGGGACCTCACCCCATGCTGTGTCCCATCTTCACCTGCCCTGTTAAAGTTCTTCTTTCTCACTGTTCGACTTCTTTTGGAAGGAAGACAGGATGTTTAAGCGCTTCGAGAGTTCCTCTTTCTTCCCGTCGCTCATCTTGTTCTCGTCAATCAGCTTGGTGATCCGGGAGATCTCGTTGGGGATGAATGGGTCCCCCTGGGCAAGGATTTTGCCCATGATTTTGATGTATTGCTCAGCGGATTTGCGTTCGCTCTCTTTGGCCTTGGCCAAATGCTCCTGGCCCTCTTCCAGGAGAGCCTGGCGACGCTCAGGTTCTTGGGTGGCACTTACAAACTGGCTGGCCAAGGCATCGAATATTTTCAGGCAACCTGGCATTCCCATGTAGATCCCTCGGAGTTTCAGCCAGCGCTGGAGAGCACTGGCCTTGACCTGCCCGTCGTAAGGCAAGGGGTTCTCCAGGTCGCCATCTTGGAACAAGTAGAAAACTGGATACGAGTCTTTATCCAGTTTGTATTTTTCCCCCAACTCCATGTTCTGCTTGTCACCATAATCTGTAAGGAAAAGCAATATGAACTCAGGTGGGAGACTTGGATAGGGAGAATAACTAGTTAGTGGGTTTGCAGGTCACTGTTCACCTAAGATGTGATTAACCAAGAATCACTTTATCAGAGAGATGGGCAGCGTATAAATTTAATAAATCAATAACAAATAAATAAGTGTGCGTAAGTGGCTTTTACAAAGGCCAAAATGTAAAAATTTCTAAGTTATGTTTGAGTGGCTTGATTAAACTATTACTATAACTTTTGCAATACAAAGGAACTTTGAAGGATGAAAATATGCAGCTGATAGAACCCCAACATTTTGAAGCCTTGAGGTCTAGCAGCTTGTTCCTCGCAAGGCTCATCCCGGCTGAAGCACAAGCCCAAAATGGTGCAACCCTTGAAGAGAATTCAAACTCTCTATGCATTCAGCCACTCTGTGCTATTGCTTTGATCGAAAGAAACAGCAGGTGTCATTTTAAAACTGGGACGGGAGGGGAATTTCCATTTCTAAAATGGCAGCAGAGAGGGGCCTCTTTTAGAATAAAGATTGAAAGTTGAACATTTGGAAACTCTCGTGTTTCCACTGAGATGAGACCCAGGTCACAGATGGGCCAGGAGGAAAAACGGTGTAAGATCTGTGTGGGTATTTGAAACCCTGCACCCAAAACCTTGTAATGGCTGAAGGCTCAGTGGTTAGAGCCGATACAGAGGGTACATCTGGAAAGTACCAGACTGAGCACATGGCAATTAAGTAAAACCAGATAGTTTTGTTTATATGAGAGCCAGTTTGGTCCCGCGGTTAAGGCACCAGGCTAAAAAGTGGGAGGCTGTGAGTTCTAGTGCTGCCTTACCCATGAAAGGCAGCCTTCAACCGAGCCCACCTCACTGGGTTGTCGTGCGGAATATAGGAGGAGGAAGGTATGTTGGACATGTTTGTCACCTTGAATTATTTGTCAAAATAATAAAGGCAGGATACAAATACATAAATTAAAAAATCCTGCCTTTATTATTTTGATAAATAAGTCAAGGCAGCTAACGTACCCAATACGGTACCAAAATATAGCATGGATTTTATTTCTTACAACTGCACAACAATTTTAAGAAATAAAGAGAACTTCATCTTCTTCTTCATCCCAAATCAAACATCTGGACCTCAGGTGTGCCCAGGTAGGGATCACCCACCTGGGCAGAGCCCCATCTCACCTGAGATGCCCACCTCAGCCACCAACAAGTCATTGCTGGATTCCGAACTCTCGGCCACCTTTTTGAACTCATCCTGCTTCTCCCCGTAAGGGTACTGGGTGTCGAATTTCACCAAGACGTATTTGTGCTTTGGGATCACCTGTGGAAAGAGCAATACGTGCAAGGCTTTACAATAGAATAACAGAGTTGGAAGGGACCTTGGAGGTCTTCTAGTCCAACCCCCTGCTTAGGCAGGAAACCCTACACCACTTCAGACAAATGGTTTACCCAAAATCTTCTTAAAAACTTCCAGTGTTGGAGCATTCACAACTTCAGTTGTTCTACTGTTTAATTGTTCTAACTGTCAAGACATTTCTTAGTTCTACGTTGTTTCTCTCCTTGATTAGTTTCCACCC